TGTGTGCCAAATCAAGATGCTCAAATCACTGGGTGAATTCCTACTAACAATATGAAATGCAACCCTATAAATTAAAAGCGACTAAAAAGGATGGAAAAGAAAAAATCTTTTTTTTTAATTAGGGTTAACAATCAAACAAATGAGAAGGGGAAAATTATTTGAATTTATTATCTTGTTAGTAAATGTCAAAGTGAAAGATGGATTTTATTATGGTCAACAAAAATAAATTCTTTTTTTTAAATCCTAATTGTCTCTAATTGTGAAGCTAACTAAAAGGGTGGAATTGAAAACGCCAGAAAAAAAAACTTACCCGAAAGCAAATCTTTAAATCCTAGTTCTCCAATCCGCAATCTTCAAGCTCCAAGCATTTCCTTCACAATAAAAACACAAGTTAAAGAACCAAAATAATTAAAACCTACTTAAGCACCATCTCTGGCAACGGCGCCAAAAACTTGATGCGGCATAAACATGTACCAAAAATATTACAAGTGCACAATCGTGTCAAGTTATAGTATAAAGATATCGATCTCACAATGAAGGTGTTTTGTAGGAGAAGATATAAAATCGGTTCTTATGTTGTGTGCGTGACAAATAGGAGTGATGAGTGAATGTGATTTTGAAGAGATTGAGAGAGTGAAAATGATGTGTAAATAGGCGCAAAATATAAGTGAGAGTGGATGTGACAAAGAATGAATGTGATCAATAAGGCAAGAAGGAAAAATCAAGAAACAAAAAAAAATCAAGAATGAAAAATAAAATTCAAGAATAAAAGAAAATGCAAAAAAATTAAAGATGGTGGATTCAATTATAGATATGGGTAATCTAAAATTAAACTCACTTCTTAGAAAAGGGTGATTACCTAGAGGGTTCTAGCCTAAAGACGAATCAGATAAAATAAAAATAAACAAAAAGAAAAACTAAACCTAAGAGGGTTCTAGCCTCAAGGTGAATAGTACAAGAAATTAAAATCTAACTACAAAATAAATTGTAAAATCTAAACTACAAAATAAATTACAAGAATTAAGTACAAAAAAATAAATCTACTCTATAAGCATGAAATAAATCTAATCTATAAGCATGAAATAAATCTAAGGCAAGAGGGTTCTAGCCTCTTGGCTATTAAACAAGAAAATAAAATCTAATTACAAGCATGAAAATAAATCTAAACTAATAAGCAATAAAAGAGAAATAAGAAAAACAAACCTTCAAATTAATCTCCATCTTCATCTTCATTTTCATCATCCAACAAAGAGAAGAAGAGAAAAATTTAAAGTGATGAAAAAATTACTATTATTAATTGCAACAAAAGTTATAATTTTGGAAGGCCTTCTCAATTAAGAGTAGCTCTCCTCTCCAAATGGAGTTACAAAAATTTTCACACCCCTAACCCCTCACTCTCTACCCCTATTTATAGTAAACATCAATGAATGAGAGCCCTTGAATTGAATCCTTATCTAAAACCATCAAAAATCAGCCATTGATCTGTAACTGTTTCGTAGCCATTGATACCAGCATCGATGCTGGCATCGATGTCGGTATCGATACCAGCATCGATGCTGGCATCGATGTCAGTATTGATGCCAGCATCAATGCTGGCATCGATGTCCAATCAAAAATCTGCCTCCATAGATGGCTTCGTCTCGTCGAGATAGGCGATTTTTATATATTATATGTTAAATTCCGCCTTCCGGATTGAGAGATATCATCATTTCTTTACAGCTAACCATCTTGAATATATTTTATTTTCATATTTGATTTTTTTATTTTCTCCGGTTTCTACAAGCTACTCGGCTTGATTCTAGGCTTGAGATTTTTAGCTCTTGCTTGTGTTCTTCATTTAATTCATGAGCTTTTGTTGAGAGATGGGATTTTTGGGCTTTATTCTTCATTAACCTGCAATTAAAGATAAAAACAATTATTAGTGATATATTTATTTATTAAAAATAGATAAAAACAATTATTAGTGATATATTTATTTATTAAAAATAGATAATGAGGGTATAAAATTGTAATAAAATGTGATTATCAAGTAGCTCTATGGCAAGAAGAGAGATTGCACTTGAAGCTTTGGATGTGAAAACGAAACAGTGAATAACAAGATGAAAGTTGAAGGTCTTTGAAAACAATAAACTTGAAAACAAGAGTTTTGCAATGAAAGCTTGGTTCTGAAGTAGTTGGGGTTGTTGGGTATTTATAAGGAAAGAAGACAACAGCCAAAACCCTAAAGAATCAGATAAAATCCCCCAAAAACCGGATTTCTAAAACTGTACAAAAATAGTTGTTACAGTACCCATCAGTCGACTGACGTGAAGCATCAGTTGACTGATGAACTGATCATTGTATACGATTTTTAGCTTATCAGTCGACTGACGATCATTCAGTCGACTGACGATCATTTCAGTCAGTCGACTGGTGAGTTGACTAAAACAGAACAATGACTAAATGATGATTCCGAGCATTTTCATCGGTCGACACATCGGTCGACTGATTTCATCGGTCGACTGATCAGTCGACTGATAACAAGTTATCAGCCTGAAATGATTTTGAAATTGAGTTGCAAAGCTCTGTTAAAAATAGTAAATAAATTCCAAAAATTGTGAACACTTTGTAAACAGTTTATAAATATTTTAACAAACTTGTTTAAAAAGGAATTTTGCTAAAATGTTATCGTATTTATGAAAATCAATGTTTTATCGAAAGTAACAAAATACGAGTTTTTGAAAGTGTGCAAGTGTGTTATCCCATGAGCTTCAAATGTAATCGACTAACTACTTGCCTACATTAAGTACTAGAGAGAAAACAAAATAGCAAATATCCCTCATATATGAGTACATGGCTTAAGTCTTGATATTTGCTCTTGAGTTGATGAAGCTTCTCATGAATATAGCGCTCTTGAAAGCTTTGCTTCATCACTATGCCTCCACCTCCTTGGATATTGTCGTTATAGCTCATTTTCCAACCAATCCTCCATAAATGATACTAACAAGCTTGATATACATATTAACTATAATATCACTCAACAAGCAATTAGTACCGATAATGGTGGTTGTAAATCATCATCAAAACATAAGGGCTAACATTAACATAAACCAAACTGGACTTAACATGTTCGGTTCATGTTAAGTCTAATTTCATGTTAAGTCCAGTTTAGTTCATGTTAAGTCTAGTTTCATGTTAAGTCCAGTTTATCATTATAAGTCTAGTTTATCATGTTAAGTCCAGTTTGGTTCATGTTAAGTCTAATTTTATGTTAAGTTCACTTTTGGTTCATGTTAAGTCTAGTTTCATGTTAAGTCCAGTTTATCATGTTAAGTCTAGTTTTGGTTCATGTTAAGTCTAATTTCATGTTAAGTCCAGTTTTTGTTTATGTTAAGTCTAGTTTCATGTTAAGTCAAGTATGAACCGTGTTAACTCCAGTTTGGTTCGTGTTAAGTCCAGTTTAAATCATTTTAAGTCTAATTTAAATCGTTTTAAGTCTAGTTTCATATTAAGTTCAATTTGATTCATGTTAAGTCCAATTTAGTTCATGCTAAGTCCAATTTAATTCATGTTAAGTCTAATTTAATTCATTTTAAGTCTAATTTATATCATGTTATGTCTAATTCAACTTATTTGAAGTCTAGAAAACAAGTTGAATTAGACTTAACATGAATCATGTTAAGTCTACTTTAACTTATTTTAAGTTTAATTTCAATCATGTTGAATTTATTTTAAATCTAATTTAAATCATGTTAAGTTTAATTCAACTTTTTTAAGTCTAATTTCATATTATGTCCAATTAAATTAGACTTAAAAAAGTTAAATTAGACATAACATGATTTAAATTAGACTTAAAAAAATTAAATTAGACTTAATATGAATTAAATTAGACTTAGCATGAAATTAGGCTTAAAACAAGTTGAATTAGACTTAACATGAATTAAATTAGACTTGAAATAAGTTGAATTAGACATGACATGATTTAAATTAGACTTAAAAGGAATTAAATTAGACTTAACATGAACCGAAATAGACTTAACATGAAATAGACTTTCATGTTAAGTCTAATTCAACTTGCTTTTAGACTTAACACGAAAGAATAAAGTAGATATAGCATTTTGGGTTTTTTTACTTTTTATTCTCTCTATGTTTAGTTGGCATGTAGTAATTGATAAAGAAGAGCTACAGAACATAGAGTTTTTGTTTTGAGGACTGATCCATAAAAAAATAGAGAAGCTGAAGCACATAAAGTTTTTACTTTTAGGGTATTAAAATAATTTTACCTTTTGTTTTTCTTTTTTGTTCTTGGCTC